TATAATGCCGAATGCGACCACGTATAATTGTCTCATGAAGCAGTACTTTATGCGGAAGGATATGCGCGCCACGGCTGCATTGTGGAAAGGCATGTGCGCGCAAGGAGTGATACCTGATGCCAACTCCTATAACATTTTGATACGGGGGCATTGTAAAGCGAGGAATATGAAAGAGGCATGGTTCTTACGCAGAGAAATGATCGATAAGGTATACGATCTTACGGCGAGCTCGTACAATGTTCTGATAAAGGGTTTTATTAAGAGGAAAAAGTTGAGAGAGGCGAGGGAAATTTTCGATGAGATGAGAAGCAAAGGCTTGGCTGAAGATAAAGAGATATATAGTATTTTTGTTGATATAAACTATGAAGAAGGGAACATGGAAACCACACTTGAACTTTGCGATCAACTGATAGAGAACTGCCTTGTAACCAAGCTTAATAATGAAAACAATTAGCTTTATTATTATTATTATTTTTTTTTGGTCTCCTCTTGCTTGCTAGCTGCTGGGTTGTCAGGGATGAAATTTGTATTGTTGGGTTTACTTGTGCAACCAACATTTTTCTTGAGGTTTTTTTGGTATAATGACAAAATTAACACTCCAACCGTAACATAAATTCACTTCTGGCAATTCCAAGCTGGTGCAAACGTTAGTTGGACTATTAAACGAATTCTGAAATTGCGATCTGAAGCATCTCCCATTACCTCAACTGTTCCTATGCAATTGAAGGAAATTTGGGACATGATTCGAATCAAATTGCAGAAGGTCAATTGGCATAAATTAATTTGGTTTCCATTGCATATCCCTAAGTATAGTTTAATAGCTTGGATGACTCTTCTCAACAGGCTGTCTACTAGAGATCAGCTTTTTAAAATGGGAATTTGCTCAGAAGTTCACTGTGTAAACTGCAATTTTAACCAAGAAACAAGGGACCATCTTTTCTTGCATTGTCCTTTGGCAGCAGACCTCTGGAAATATGTTTTGATCCTTAATGGGATGAAGCCATCAATCACGTCATAGGATGATATGGTTTCAAGTGCTTCTTCTTCATGGAAAGGGAAATCTCTCCTTAACACCATTTTGAAAATTTCATGGACTACTTGCATCTACTTTCTATGGCAGGAAAGAAATCAGAGAGTCTTCTTAGGACGTCATAGAACGGTTGAATGTTTGCTCAAAGATGTCAAAGATGTTGTTGGAATTAGACTTAGGGGAACTAACATAAATAGACTAGATAGTACTAATCTAAAGCTTTGTAATGCTTGGGGTATTGTCTAACCAATCTCTTTTGTATAGGCTGTTTCTTTTTTGATTGTTTCTCTTGATTGGTTGTATCTATTTTGACATTGGGTAATAAAATTTGAATTATCCAAAAAAAATCACTTAGGCCCCTATTCTCTTTTTTAATATTTTTATCATGTAACGTTTTAATTTTTTTTATTAAAATAGTTTTTATCTATAAAATTTATTAGTTAATTAACTGTTTAATACGATATTTTTATATTTATTTAATTAGTGATGTGATATGTGTTGTAACTCAAAGTGATAATATAATTTTTGTTGTACCATAGCTACTCAAAATAATGATGTAGCATTTGTCACATCACTAATCAAGTAAATTGAAAATATTATATCATTAACGTATGTTAATAGTTGTTCAATTAATAATTTTTATTTAATATATATGTTATTTTGAAAAATAATTCAAACTTTGGAACTAAAATATTTTAAAGAATATAAGAGTTAAACTAATTATTTAGATAAACATTAATAACTAATTCCGTCGATTTTTTTAGTTTTACAAGTAAATTAAAGATTATCTTATTCTTTAGTAAAAAAAAATCCTAGGCAACCACGTAGAGACCTTTACAGGTTAACGAAACGACAACGTTTTAATTGAAATATGAAACCTACGATTAGACTCGAAAAGACGATGTTTTACAAAAAGGAACAAACACTAAGGTGGTGTTTGTTTTCACTGTGCAAGCTCTTCAAACCACTTATGTCTGCGTCGCGCAGACCACGCGCAGACATTAGACTTCGCAGACTGTTTGTTTTTTAGAAGACAGAAGCTCTTCAAACGTTTGCGCGATCTCTTCTTGGTGCAGACTTGGTTTTATGTCTTCAAATGTCTTCAAACCTCTTCAAGAACAATTATAAAATATAGTTATTTATTAAAATAATTTTAAATAATTTAATAAGGTTATTTATTTTAAAATAATTTATTTTAAAAATAATTTATTATAAAATAATTTATTATAAAATAATTTACTTTAAAATAATTTACTTTAAAATAAATTATTATAAAATATGGATTGATTTATTTTAAAATAATTTATTTTAAATAATTTATTAGTATGAATTGATTTATTTTAAAATATGGATTGATTTATTTTAAATAATTTATTAATATGAATTGATTTATTTTAAAATATGGATTGATTTATTTTAAATAATTTATTAGTATAGATTGATTTATTTTAAAATATGGATTGATTTATTATTGTAGTTGTATGGATTGATTTATTTTAAATAATTTATTAGTATGTATTGATTTATTTTAAAATATGGATTGATTTATTTTAAATAATTTATTAGTATAGATTGATTTATTTTAAAATATGGATTGATTTATTTTAAATAATTTATTAGTATGGATTGATTTATTTTAAAATATGAATTGATTTATTTTAAAATATGGATTGATTTATTTTAAATAATTTATTAGTATAGATTGATTTATTTTAAATAATTTATTTGTATAGATTGATTTATTTTAAAATATGGATTGATTTATTATTGTAGTTGTATGGATTGATTTATTTTAAATAATTTATTAGTATGAATTGATTTATTTTAAATAATTTATTAGTATGGATTGATTTATTTTAAAATATGGATTGATTTATTTTAAATAATTTATTATTGTTGTTGTATGGATTATTTAAATTTCAGTATTGTAAAACTAAAATTATTTAAATCTCAGTATTGCAAACCTCTTTTAAGTTTAAAAAGTCAGTTTATTTATATTTCAGTTCATTTTAGCAGTCTGTAGACGTTAAAAAACAAACAGTATTCTTCTTGCAGACTGCAGACTTTTGGTCCACCTCTTCTGCTGTAGATGCCTGCAGATGTGGTCCGCAGACTGCAGACCTTTTACCTCTGCAAAAACAAACACCACCTAAACGTGGATACTGACTTCACTTCCCCCTTGTAATAAACGAGGGCTAAGACCCACCTGGAACTTTCTCTTTTTAATCGTCAATCCAAACTAGAGACTTTCCTTCGCATTGTTTTGAAAACCGGATCGGATCCGTCGATTCAATCGGTTTAACCGGAAATCGTTATATAGTCCGGTTCAATTTAGACCGATTGAACCGTTATTAGTGAACCGGCTATAACCACTGAACCGTTCAAACTGGACCGGCTGAAAACTGGAAAAAACCGCCAATTTTGTTTTTAAAAAAAATTAAATTAAATCAAACGATGTCGTTTGTTAAACGAGCCAAGTCGAACTCGAATATTGCTGAGCTCGACTCGAACTTGAAAAATTCAAAAGTAAGCTCAACTCGATTCAAACTCACGAGCTAAAAATTATGAAGTTTAACTCGAACTCGAAATATAATATTGAAACTTGAACTCGAAAAGGTTTGAACTCAAAAAAAAAAATTTAGAAGCTCGATTGAAGCCTAAAATTCGAGCTTGATTGAAGTGAAAGAATAGTTCACTCAATGCTTACCAAAAGGCTCCATGATTTTGAATGCTTACCTCTATTATTTATAGAAGTTAGTTGGGATGATCTTCTATGTTTCTTAGCCATTGTTTTTAAAAAAAAAAATTAAACCAAACAATATCATTTTGTTATGATTTTTTTAGCTCCAAATTTATTTTTTAGTATTAATTATATATTTTTATATTTTTTATCTTAAATATTATGTTATAGTTAATTTGAATCATTTTATTTCACTTGATTTTATGGTTTTTAACTTATATATGTTATGACTTGCTTTGAATATGAATTGTGATGTAAAAAATTATTTTTTATTAAATATTTTTGATATTTTTATTTAATTTTTTAAATAATTATGACGTCGTCCGATTCTTCCGACCGATCGGACCGGTTAAACCAGTGAACGGGTACCATAGCCGGTTCACTAACCGGTTCTGAAAACCATGTTCCTTCGTTCGATAACTTCCGCTTCATCTTCTTCCTGATACGCTGTACCCTTCACAATCTTGCTTACTAAGAAAATTAAATAAAATTCCAACAACTTTAATCCTTACAAGAAACATCAAACAAAACAAACTTTTCCCAGACAATTACTATACTCGGAAAATCTAGAATAATCAATTTCCAATCCCATTCTAGAGAAACAAAAGTACTGCATGTCTGCTTATTTTATATTTCCCCTATAATACTTTCAGAACCCATTTTCCTTGCGTTGTTCATACATGGAGATTTTTACAAAAGCGAAGGTTTGTGAAATGAGAACCCATTTTCCTTGCGTTGTTCATACATGGAGATTTTTACAAAAGCGAAGGTTTGTGAAACTGAGGAATCACCTCGAGAAATATCTGGTTGCCGAAGACGATCAAGAAACCGTACTTCAAAGCCGTGACAGCTCCGGCAAAAGAGCTAGATGGTTTGTCGAGCTCGTCCACGATAAGCCAAACGTTATCCGCCTCAGAAGCTGCCACGGGAAGTACTTGACGGCCACCTATTTGCCCTTTCTTTTGGGAATGACGGGTAACAAGGTACTGCAAACGGTACCCGAGAACATGGACTGGAAACTCCAGTGGGAGCCTGTAAGAGACGGCTTTCGGATCAAGTTCGAGACGTGGTGAGGTAAATTTCTGCGGGCGAATGGAGGGACGCCGCCGTGGAGAAACTCGATGACTCACGACGAGCCTCGTGCCGGAGTGACGCGGAGATGAGTGTTATGGGACGCGGAGGTGGTTCAGGTGCCCGAGTCGGAGTCGGTAATGGTGTATATATCGTCGGTTTCTAGCTTTTCTTCGGTGTCCGATAAGGTTTTGGAGGCTTTGAGCGATGACGTGTTGGGGTCGGGGCCAATGTCGCCGACCTTCGTCGTGTCGTCGTTTAAGTCTCCGAGGTTTTCGATAATTTCGACGGGGTCACCAAAGTTGTCACCCAAAGAGGTACGCACTGTGCTTCGAAAAGCCTTTGTACTTAATTAATTTGTTGATCTAAAAGTTCTCTTATTAATTAAATCTAATCAAAACTAAAAGAAATTAGTTCATCATAATTTGGTGTTCTATTCAATCCCAATTATTGATGGTATGGTTTTTCTTTTGCGTGTGAAATCAATGGAAGTAACGATGACAAGTTTTGAAGAGTTTTGCGTGTGAAATCAATGTAATCCTCCCACCCTTATCTTGTTTAGTTACAAGGAAAAACAAAAACAATGTAAGTAACATCATTATTTCTTTATTTTATCTTATTGCTAGGATTTTTTTATTAAAGTTCAACTCTAAAGAGTTTTCGTCGTTTTTTTCATAAGATAATCTTCAAAATTATCTGGATTTAGTCATATTTTTTTATTTTCACCTACTATGAAACATTAGTTCAAACCAAAGCTCGCACGTAACTTAGCCCACATGGATAAGACTACGGCGTCAGAAATATTGCCACGTAATTGCCGCGTGTGAAATTTGCTTTCGACACCGGCTGGCGCATGCTGACTGGCTGAACCTTGGTGTATCCCAATTTTTAACTTTGAGACAAACGCGAAATAAATAGAAGCAAAACCAAGTTTCGATAGGAAAAAGCTTTTGTTGGTTTTTGTTCATCGCGCACTTCCTTTCTTTCTTTTCCTTATTTCAAGCAGACGAATTCTAACAAATACCGGAGGGGATGGATTTGTTCCTCAACGCCAAAGCGGTGCGTCTACGCAGTCACCACAACAAGTACTTCGTCGCCGAGGAAGACGAAGAGTCCGTTTCTCAGTACAGGAACGGCTCATCCAAGAACGCCCGATGGACCGTCGAGTTCGTACCCGGATTAGAAACCATCATCCGCTTAAAAAGCCTTTACAACAAGTACCTCACCGCCTCGAACCAACCCTTTTTACTCGGGATGACGGGTCGAAAGGTGATCCAGTCGCTGCCTACGAGGCTCGACTCGTCGGTCGAGTGGGAACCCATTAGAGAAGGGAATCAGATTAAGCTCAAGACTCGGTACGGTAACTTCTTGAGAGCCAATGGAGGGTTACCGCCTTGGAGGAACTCGGTCACCCACGATATTCCTCAGCGTACCGCCACTCAAGATTGGGTTTTGTGGGATGTGGATATTGTGGAGATTCAAATCAAGTCTCCGAGCAGCGGTGACCAGCCCTCGGCTCCTCCTCACGCTGATTCGTTGAACTTCGAATCCACTTCACCTTCTGCACTTTCGGCCCAATCCGGACGCTATTCAAGACAAGAGGTTTGATGATATAAACTTTTTTTTAATTGTGGGATATTGATTCTCTTCTTGATTTCTCATTATTGTTTTAAAATTTGCAGTCGAGTTATTCTTATGTGGGTTCACCACCTAAATCGGAAGGCAGGATGGTATACTACCATGTGGCGGATGACACTGGGGAGGTCGACGATGAGGCGGGGGAGGGCTACCCTCTTAGTTTTAGAGGAAACGATGTGGCTGAACTGACTCATAAAATAAGGGAAGAGACAGGGCTTGAAGATATTGTGGTTTGTACTCGCAGTCCTTTGAACGGAACCCTTTTTCCTCTCCGATTGCAGCTTCCCCCCAACAACACCGATGTGCATGTTGTTGTTGTTGTTCCATTAGCCTCCGAAGGTAAACCTTATCTTTCAGTCATGCTCTGTGGTGTAATTGCTGCAGCTTATAATCAGTCTCGTGATCAACTTGTCATGCTAATTTATTGTTTTTGTTGGGTGTTTTCAGCGGCGAGAAGTTTTGCGAAATGAGGAATTTACTTATGTGAGCTCCATGGAAGGAGCGTAATAGATACGGTTGAGATTGTACATTCTACTCTCCAGTCTCTTCTTTTACTTAGGTTAAAGTATTCAACGAGTCGACTACATCCCATTGCGTTTTATCAGCTATAGGTTGGACTAAAGTCCGGTGGAGAGGGTAGTTTTCTGCCATGGCAGAGGATTTGTTTTGTATATAATATTGCTTATCTATGTACTTCATTGGTTGGTTTTTTATGTATAAACATTTGTACTGAACTTATTATATTTCCTAGAATAAATTTTCTGATTTTTTTTCATTGAATAATGACTTAATTAATCATCTAAAAAGATATATCAATTATATATGGAATAACAATTGGAAATTTTAAAACTCCAATTGCCAATCCTTAGCCGCCAAAAAAAAATCTACTGTCAAATGTTGTAATAGACGGCTAACGATAACTGCAAGAATCATGTAGGCAAACGAAATACGGTTCTGCATTGCTCGAACAAAGCTTGACCCCATCCATCAAACCTGATCAACAAAGAAATGGAGAACATTGGTGCTATGCTAAGAATCCTGGTTTAATCACTAGCTGGCAGATTCAAAATATCCAGTAAACTAGTAACTGATACTCAGCAAGGCAGAACATGTAACCGAGACCCACCACTTTCAGCAATCTGGGGAATAATGGAATTGAATGAATAACACCAACGAGAGCAGATGCTAAACAGAAGACAAGCAAGGCACCACTTCCATATATGAAGAGTTATGGCCTAAATGCACAATGGACAATCAAAGACTTAACACCCAGGTTCTATAGACTGCTACCTCTAGCCAACTAGATTATTCAATAAATCGAATATTATGCATAGGGTTGCTCTAATCACGAATCCACGATCATATAAATGCAAATTGTAATAACGAATAGATTCAACTGAGAGCTCATAAATCACGATCTTGCAAACATCGAAATATTCATAGTGGCAATGTCTTGAACCAACAATGATCAAAGATGTCTACGATCTGAATTTCCATGATGGACATGATTGAAAATAGTCACAAATTTGGCTATGGTAGTACTCGAATCAACTTTAGGAGTCTCAATGGCTTGGATGAACGACTGGATCGACTAACCAGATTTAGAACCCAACAGTAGTGATGATTGATCGATGGAAAAAAATATAGCGAAAATGGTGCTTAGTAGATGACCGTAAAATGAGGCGACAGAGAAAGAGGCTTCAAGACTATCAACTGTAATGAAACAGAATGAGAAACGGAATCGTAACGAAAGAATTGTCTATGGCTCCCCGAAAAATAGAGGCGTGGTGACCGGACGATTGGAAAACCAAGGACTGAAGTCGTTTGAAAAACAGCATACGAAACAATGGATGAAAAAGAGTATGGCTAGAAAACCTATCAATTGATGAGCCAAATCTGTAAAACAATAGTAGTTGCGCCGACAATCAAATCAAAGATTGAGCAATAGACTAGTTGATGAATGGAACGGCAGCGACGACAGTGATGACCTGAATCTGAATCTGATTATGATATCATGTGAAAATAGTGGCATCGATGTCGGCGACCGGCAACGGAGGGAATTAATGAAAAAGGCGAGCAGTGGTTGATGAGTTTTTTTTCTTCTAAAAACATTGTGTTCCCCCCTAAAAGCAAAGAGCCCAAGAGAGTGAAATGGGGGTTGACTACTACAACGTTCTGAAAGTCAGACGTAGCGCGACGGAGGAGAACCTGAAGAAGTTCTACAAGCGGCTGGCCATGAGGTGGCACCCGGACAAGAACCCCGTCAATAAGAAAGAAGCGGAGGCTAAATTCAAGCAGATTTCTGAAGCCTATGACGTCCTCAGCGACCCGCAGAAGCGTCAGATCTATGACATATACGGTTCGCTTCAGTCGGCTGAATTATCGAGCCCCAATGGGTTTAGTGGCGGCGGCGGTGTCGGTAGGGCCTACAGGTTTAATCCGAGGAATCCTGAGGATATATTTGCTGAGTTTTTAGAGGGTCGGAGAAGAGGTTTAGTGGAGACGGTGGGGTTGGGAGTCAAGGGAACAAGAAGGCGGCGCCGGTTGAAAGCAAATTGGTTTGCATTTTGGAGGAGCTTTATAAAGGTGGTAGGCGCAAAATGCGGATCTCCCGCACTATTGCTGGTGAATTTGGGTCAGTATATGCACTTTTCTCTGGGTTTATTGTTTCGTCATGAAAGCTTTGAACCATTTTTTCAAATCTGGATAGGATAAATTTGCATGTTGATTTTGTTATTTAATCTGTATTTATTTGTTGCTTATGTGATCTGGGTTTTGGGGAAGAAACAATCTGAGAATGGGTGTCGATAGTTCTTCAATTCTCTGGACAGTCAAGGTAAATTCCTTAGACAATTAAAGAGATTAATTTCTTTAAAAAAATGAGGGGGTGACTTATACTCATGTTTCGTTCTTTTTGAAGTTGAATTCTGGATTTTTGTTACCAATTCTTTTTCGAGTTGATATTTTGTGCATCCACTGTAAATTGATGGTAATTTGGGAATATCCTCAATCCAAAAGCTTTATATGGGCTGAGTCAAAGTTCTCCCATTTCCTGTTTTGTTAAAATTCGTGTTGACAACATCAGAATCTGATTGCTAAACAGATCAGTTGACTGCTGTAGAATTTGTTGCATATCGAATTATCCGTAAATGAAACCGACATCGCTTCCTCGGATTTCTTTTTCGTTGGCATATTAATAACCAGGCGATGAGGTTGTTATCTCAAATGAAGGGATGCCGATTTCGAAAGAACCCAGCAAGAAAGGACAACTCAAAATCAAATTTGATATCATCTTTCCCTCGAGGCTCAATGCAGAACAGAAGTCGGATCTGAAGAGGGCCCTGGGGAGAGCTGATAAATAGCGAAATAGTCCATGCCAGAGATCACAATCGTCTGTTTAACACCGATCGAGTCAAGTCGATGTAAATAGGTTTAATTCTCGACTACTACAAGATTAGGGATTGAAAGGGTTGCAAATATTGTGTTGATAGAGTGAGTGCCAATCTGTCACCGTGTTCTAATCGGAAAATTTTATATACACTTTGCATATAGAGCTAGCTTGGTGTTGGAAGTTGAAGGAAAGACCTTTTTGTGTTGCTAAAATGAGTAATTTTATAAAGTACATTTTGTGTTGCTGTAAGCATGACAGTATATTCTTTTTTATTTCTACAGTATGCCATCTTCTTGTTTTCCGTTTTCTGTAATTTTTCTTGATGGGATTCTGGATTTCATAGTATTTTATCATTTCATTAACAAACCTCATCAGATTAATTCGGTCTAAAAGGCTGAAACGATGGCGTTGTTCGTGGCCGGAGCAGAGCAGAGCACTCAAACGACGAATTGGTGCAAAGCTGCAGGCATGAATGGATGAAAGATGCTTTAGAGAATAAAAACATAAAGGTATTACTTTAGTATCAGGTTTATGCATAAAATAAATATATTTCGTGTTTGTTCTCAACAATAATATTTAAATTCTCCTTGTATGAAAAATGATAAAATATAGAGCTATGTCAAAACAAGTTTCACGCATTAAGAAAACATGAGTTTGTATTAAATTAAAAACATAATTTATTTTAGGGTAAAGTATAGTAATGGTCAATTTTAGGGTAAAGTATAGTAATGGTCACTGAACTTTTCAAAAGCTTGCATTTAGGTCTCCCAACTTTTAAAACTTGCAATACAGTCCTCCAACATTTAGTTTGTTTGCAATATGGTCTCCGACGTAACCGGCTGTTTGACGTTGTTACACTGCCGTTACAAGAAGATGATGTGGTCGTCCTCCAACATTTAGTCTGTTTGCAATATGATCATTGAACTTTTCAGGCGCTTGCATTTATGTCCCCCAACTTTTAAAACTTCCAACACAATCTTCAATTTCATTATAAATCCCAAATTCTAAACTAATTCAATTAAATTTTAAACCCTAAATTTTAAAATACTTCAATTTAAGGTTTAGAATATATTTGAAGTATTTTGAAATTTGGGGTTTAGAATGTAATTGAAGAGTTTTGGAATTTTGAACATGAATTTGCTATTTAACAGTGTTTACTTCAATTTAAATTTGAGGTTTATTGCATGCACATCCAACAGCTGTGATGCAAGGGGATTCGAGACAGATGATGTTGAGCTGTCAGATTGCACATTGATGGCGCTGAGATACCATGAGTTGGCAGATCAGCACACAGGCGGGAGTTGAGTGTGATATGTTACTCATTGGGGTTTTTTTTTAGTGTGTTTCAGTCTTTTGACTATAACTTTGGCTACGGGTGTCGGAATCGCGCATAAGACCCCAATTCGAAAAGCCCCTTTCGACGCGCACGCTGTCCACATCAAGCATGGCTCCGTGTGGCCTTTTTTTGACCTCAAATTCTACCATTTTCTCCTCCGAATCACTAGTTTTATTTATTTTTACTATTTATGGTAATATTTTGCTTGTCAGTTAGGAAGTCATTTTAAATCCGATTTGAACCATATTTTTTGCAGATTGCTTAATTTATTTCGAATTTTAATTTAGAGTGATTTTCGATATTTTTCTATTTTTGGCAAAATTCGGATAAATACGATTTTTGGCTATAACAGTCCGACTTGTGGATTGATTTTCGATGGTTTTGATTTTATATTATTCTATTAAACCCTAGAGACTTTTTCTCTGGTTGTTTGGGCAAATTTTCTCCTTTGAATCATCTGTTAGAACTAGCCTGTAGGATAATCGTTATTCTGTCCAGCGTCAGTTGGTATCAGAGCTTCAACATCTTCTTGGAAAATTTCACCAGTTTCAATGGTTGGAGGTCGTGGTCTTGGTCATCGTGAGCAGGTTCCGAATGAGGAATCCAAACGCCGTGATCGCAGCAATCAGGATGCGATGATTGCGGATTTACAGAGGCAAGTCGCAGAATTAACCCAGCGCCTAGCGGTACAGGATTTCGAGGATCGTGAGGTATTTGATCACGATACTAATTTCACTTTCGAAAACCCGTATCAATGTGCTATATTCCGGGAGCACCGTGATCGGGAGGAGCGTCATGGAGACCTCGATTTTCGGGTCGATCTCTCTGAGTTTTCTGGTACGTTACAGGCCGAGGGATTTGTGGATTAAATTAATGAAGTGGAACGTATTTTTGATTATAAGGAAGTCCCCGATCGTGTGAAAGTGAAACTGATCGCCATCAAACTCAAGGACATAGCATATGCGTGGTGAGAGCAGTTGCAACGTTCACGAGACATGCAAGGCAAGGCAA